ATTTATATTAGATTTTACACGGCTAATACATTTGCATACTCAATTGTAAATTTGTAAACAAAAAAGTTCACAACTCAGGTAATAATGCCCGTATCCACATCATAATTTGTATTTATATTAGTTTACACAAGGCTAATACATTTGCATACTCAATTGTAAATTTGTAAAAAAAAAGTTCACAACTCAGATAATAATGCATATATCCACTTCAGAATTTGTATTTATATTAGATTTTACACGGCTAATACATTTGCATACTCAATTGTACATTTGTAAACAAAAAGTTCACAACTCAGGTAATAATGCCCGTATCCACATCATAATTGGTATTTATATTACTTTACACAAGGCTAATACATTTGCATACTCAATTGTAAATTTGTAAACAAAAAGTTCACAACTCAGCTAATAATGCCGATATCACCTTCATAATTTGTATTTATATTAGATTTTACACGGCTAATACATTTGCATACTCAATTGTAAGTTTGTAAACAAAAAGTCCCGTATCCACATCATAATTCGTATTTATATTAGTTTACACAAGGCTAATACATTCGCATACTCAATTATAAATTTGTAAACAAAAAGTTCACAACTCAGCTAATAATGCCGATATTACCTTCAGAATTTCTATTTATATTATATTTTACACGGCTAATACATTTGCATACTCAATTGTAAATTTGTAAACAAAAAGTTCACAACTCAGCTAATAATGCCGATATCACCTTCAGAATTTGTATTTATATTAGATTTTACACGGCTAATACATTTGCATACTCAATTGTAAATTTGTAAACAAAAAGTTCACAACTCAGTTAATAATGCCGATATCACCTTCATAATTTGTATTTATATTAGATTTTACACGGCTAATACATTTGCATACTCAATTGTAAATTTCACCTTTAGAATTTGTATTTATATTAGATTTTACACGGCTAATACATTTGCATACTCAATTGTAAATTTGTAAACAAAAAGTTCACAACTCAGTTAATAATGCCAATATCACCTTCATAATTTGTATTTATATTACATTTTACACGGCTAATACATTTGCATACTCAATTGTAAATTTGTAAACAAAAAGTTCACAACTCAGCTAATAATGCCGATATCACCTTCTGAATTTGTATTTATATTAGATTTTACACGGCTAATACATTTGCATACTCAATTGTAAATTTGTAAACAAAAAGTCCCCTATCCACATCATAATTGGTATTTATATTAGTTTACACAAGGCTAATACATTCGCATACACAATTATAAATTTGTAAGCAAAAGGTTCACAACTCAGCTAATAATGCCGATATCACCTTCAGAATTTGTATTTATATTAGATTTTACACGGCTAATACATTCGCATACTCAATTGTAAATTTGTAAACAAAAAGTTCACAACTCAGATAATAATGCATATATCCACTTCATAATTGTATTTATATTAGTTTTCACACGGCTAATACATTTGCATACTCAATTGTAAATTTGTAAACAAAAAGTTCACAACTCAGATAATAATGCATATATCCACTTCATAATTGTATTTATATTAGTTTTCACACGGCTAATACATTTGTATACTCAATTGTAAATTTGTAAACAAAAAAGTTAACAACTCAGATAATAATTCATAATTTGTATTTATATTAGTTTTTACACGGCTAATACATTTGCATACTCAATTGTAAATTTGTAAACAAAAAGACCCGTATCTACATCATAATTGGTATTTATATTAGTTTACACAAGGCTAATACATTCGCATACGCAATTGTAAATTTGTAAACAAAAAGTTCACAACTCAGCTAACAATGCCGATATCACCTTCATAATTTATATTAGATTTTACACGGCTAATACATTTGCATACTCAATTGTAAATTTGTAAACAAAAATTTCACAACTCAGCTAATAATACCGATATCACCTTCAGAATTTGTATTTATCCTGCAGTACCATTCATCAACAATTCATCAACGTTTCATCAATAGCCGAAGGGGTGTTGTTGATGATTCATCGATGAATGTCCATGCAAATTACTGATGAATTTAACATGGGCATGTCATAGGCATTCATCAACAACAATTCATCAACAATTAATCATCATTTCATCGATGAATTGTTGATGAATTACTGATGAAAGACTGATGAAATGTTGATTAATTGTTGATGATTCATCGATGAATTGTTGATGAATTGTTGATGAATCATCAACAATTCATCAACATTTCATCAGCCTTTAATCAACAATTCATCATCAATTCATCGATGAATTGTTGATGATTTTTTTTTCATATATAAAAATAAAACTCTTAAATTTTTATTAATATGATTTATTCTTACTAATTCTATACCAAAACTAAAACACAAATATAAAAAATTAAGATTAAACATCCATATATTAAAAGGCCTTAAGGTTTTTTTGATCCTTGGTGTTCCGCTTTCTATTCATGAAGACCAAATTTATTGCGCAGTATCTTCTCTGGAGGCTCAGTTTTAGTCACTTGGGAAATTGCATCTACAGAAAAAATTATAATTAATCAAGGGAAAATATAATTTCATTAAATAAAATTACCCAATATATTGGCCATTACTGCAGTCTGAAAAGAAAATACATACATAATATGTACATATATAAATATAATATATTAATATATTATATACATATAATAAATAAAATAATATACATATGTACATTTATAGGCTTCTATTTAATTAAGAACAATCTTTTTACTCACCTTTTTTTATATTCCAATATGGCCCGGAACGTAATTATTGAATTATTTGATTTCTTAACATTTTTAACACACGACACTTCTGCAGTGGAGAACACTTCAACTTGTAATGTAAAGGGAATAAGAAGAAGCAAGACGAAACCGAAAACCGCTGCTCCGAAAATATGGAGTCGAACCTTCGAGAATCTATTTTAATTGCGTCTTCTACTTTGTTTCGGACTAAAAAAAAACGAAGCCCATGCAAATTGTTTTTGTTTTTTTTTGCATGCACCAACAAATCGGACTCGAAGGGAGTTCGGGTCTCCGAAGGGAGTTCGGGTTCAAGTAGCAGTCGGCAGAGCGTCGGTTCTGTCGGCGTCGCAGTCGGCGCGTTGATGAATTTTTGATGAAAAGGCCTATTGATGAAATGTGGTACTGCAGGGTATATTAGATTTTACACGGCTAATACATTCGCATACTCAATTGTAAATTTGTAAACAAAAAGTCCCGTATCCACATCATAATAATAATGATACATTCGCATACTCAATTATAAATTTGTAAACAAAAGGTTCACAACTCAGCTAATAATGCCGATATCACCTTCAGAATTTGTATTTATATTAGATTTTACACGGCTAATACATTCGCATACTCAATTGTAAATTTGTAAACAAAAAGTTCACAACTCAGCTAATATTGCCGATATCACCTTCAGAATTTGTATTTATATTAGATTTTACACGGCTAATACATTTGCATACTCAATTGTAAATTTGTAAACAAAAAGTCCCGTATCCACATCATAATTGGTATTTATATTAGTTTACACAAGGCTAATATATTCGCATACTCAATTATAAATTTGTAAACAAAAGGTTCACAACTCAGCTAATAATGCCGATATCACCTTCAGAATTTGTATTTATATTAGATTTTACACGGCTAATACATTCGCATACTCAATTGTAAATTTGTAAACAAAAAGTTCACAACTCAGCTAATAATGCCGATATCACCTTCAGAATTTGTATTTATATTAGATTTTACACGGCTAATACATTTGCATACTCAATTGTAAATTTGTAAACAAAAAGTCCCGTATCCACATCATAATTGGTATTTATATTAGTTTACACAAGGCTAATACATTCGCATACTCAATTATAAATTTGTAAACAAAAGGTTCACAACTCAGCTAATAATGCCGATATCACCTTCAGAATTTGTATTTATATTAGATTTTACACGGCTAATACATTCGCATACTCAATTGTAAATTTGTAAACAAAAAGTCCCGTATCCACATCATAATTGGTATTTATATTAGTTTACACAAGGCTAATACATTCGCATACTCAATTATAAATTTGTAAACAAAAGGTTCACAACTCAGCTAATAATGCCGATATCACCTTCAGAATTTGTATTTATATTAGATTTTACACGGCTAATACATTCGCATACTCAATTGTAAATTTGTAAACAAAAGGTTCACAACTCAGCTAATAATGCCGATATAACCTTCAGAATTTGTATTTATATTAGATTTTACACGGCTAATACATTCGCATACTCAATTATAAATTTGTAAACAAAAGGTTCACAACTCAGCTAATAATGCCGATATCACCTTCAGAATTTGTATTTATATTAGATTTTACACGGCTAATACATTCGCATACTCAATTGTAAATTTGTAAACAAAAGGTTCACAACTCAGCTAATAATGCCGATATCACCTTCAGAATTTGTATTTATATTAGATTTTACACGGCTAATACATTCGCATACTCAATTATAAATTTGTAAACAAAAGGTTCACAACTCAGCTAATAATGCCGATATCACCTTCAGAATTTGTATTTATATTAGATTTTACACGGCTAACACATTCGCATACTCAATTGTAAATTTGTAAACAAAAAGTCCCGTATCCACATCATAATTGGTATTTATATTAGTTTACACAAGGCTAATACATTCGCATACTCAATTATAAATTTGTAAACAAAAGGTTCACAACTCAGCTAATAATGCCGATATCACCTTCAGAATTTGTATTTATATTAGATTTTACACGGCTAATACATTCGCATACTCAATTGTAAATTTGTAAACAAAAAGTCCCGTATCCACATCATAATTGGTATTTATATTAGTTTACACAAGGCTAATACATTCGCATACTCAATTATAAATTTGTAAACAAAAGGTTCACAACTCAGCTAATAATGCCGATATCACCTTCAGAATTTGTATTTATATTAGATTTTACACGGCTAATACATTCGCATACTCAATTGTAAATTTGTAAACAAAAGGTTCACAACTCAGCTAATAATGCCGATATCACCTTCAGAATTAGTATTTATATTAGATTTTACACGGCTAATACATTCGCATACTCAATTATAAATTTGTAAACAAAAGGTTCACAACTCAGCTAATAATGCCGATATCACCTTCAGAATTTGTATTTATATTAGATTTTACACGGCTAATACATTCGCATACTCAATTGTAAATTTGTAAACAAAAAGTCCCGTATCCACATCATAATTGGTATTTATATTAGTTTACACAAGGCTAATACATTCGCATACTCAATTATAAATTTGTAAACAAAAGGTTCACAACTCAGCTAATAATGCCGATATCACCTTCAGAATTTGTATTTATATTAGATTTTACACGGCTAATACATTCGCATACTCAATTGTAAATTTGTAAACAAAAAGTTCACAACTAAGCTAATAATGCCGATATCACCTTCATAATTTGTATATATGTAAGGTGTTGAGGTACAGTCTGGCAGCGAGTACACATTTTGCGTCGTTGCGAATGGCAATCAGCCGATCATGAGAGCAGCGAGTCCAAGAGGGAGAGTTGCAGAGTGACGAGAGGAGAAGAGAGTCAGTCGCTGAGAGAAGTCGTAAGGAGCAGTCGTGTTTCCGGAGTTATTTCATTAAATTGTTAAGAAAGCTACTATAGTCGTATGAAGTTAAATATCAGTTGTCGAAGTTGCTAAAGTCGCCTACAGTTGTTAAATCACAGAAGTTGCTATAAGTTTATGTTATTCCACACTTATTATAACCCATCTCAGCCTTACTTAATATATTTAAATAAACTACTTAATACAAACTCTACATTTGGGGGCTCGTGCCGGGTCTGAGATAACCAATTAAGTGTCGGAAAACGTAATGAACAGAGTTAAACTAATTAAGTGAATGCCTTAAAGAAAGAAGAACAGGAGTTGTGAAATTCATTTAACACAAAGAAACTGCGCATTAAAGTTATAGGTGAACAGACAAGATTGAACAAGAATAAAGAAACTGCGCATTAAAGAGATTGGTGAAGAGACACGATCGAACAAAAACAAAGAAACTGCGCAGTTAAATTTGGTGTTCGGTATTCGGTATTTGGACGCGGATATAGACACAGAACTGTCCCAAAATGACGCGTCGAACCCCGGCAAGAAATAGAAAAGGAACACAGGAATTAGAAGACGTCGAAGATGAACAGAACAATACAGTGGTAGAGAAAGAAGAAAAGAACGTACTGGAAGTTTCAGACATGCAGAATAAAATCGACAACATATTGCAGTTGCTGTCATTAAAAATTCAAGTTGACGAACAACAAAATAATCGCGCTAAGCCTCAAATTGATAATTTTGAGAAAGTGGTCAACGATTTTGACGGTCAATTAGTGCAGCAGTGGTTTGATATATTTGAAAAAAATGCAGATGCATACGATCTCACGCTGAAACAAATGTATGTACAAGCCAGAGGCAAAATGACGGGCGCGGCCAAATTGTTTTTGCAGTCAGTGTGTGTGAGCGATTATCAAGAGCTAAAGAGAGTACTGATCGACGAGTTCGCTTGCAGCACCAACAGTGCCGACGTACATCGCCAGTTGCAAAGCAGGAAGAAAAGGAAGAGCGAGACCTTCCATGAGTACATACTAGAATTACGTCAGATGGCAGCGGCAGGAAATGTAGAGGAAGCAGCGGTGCTACAGTACATTGTCAACGGGCTGGTTGATGTTAAAAACGAGTATAAGGCTATACTTTATTCGTGCAAGACGTACAAATCACTCAGAGAGCAGTATGATATTATAATGCAGCTGGACGATAAGCCGCGCAATTCATGGAGCAAGCGGAGTGCATCACCTTTTGAACAACAGAAGAGAAAGGAATTTTGTTTCAAGTGTGGTTCAGCAGAGCATAAAATCAAAGATTGTCCGTCTCCAACGAAGTGCTTCAAATGCAATGAAAACGGTCATATTGCCAAAAATTGTCCGGTTGTAGAGCCAAGTGTTCGTAAGGTTGTCGACCAAAGTCGTTTTAAGTTGATCTCTGTAAATGGAATCGAAATTGATTGCTTGATCGATACAGGATCGGACGTATCGCTTGTCACCAAGAATATTGCTGAAAAAATTGAAAACATTGAGATTTATAAAAGTGCGTCTTTGTTAAGTGGTCTGGGCCAGAAGAAAACCAAGCCGATTGGGTTTTTTACCGCTGACGTTGTTGCAGACCAGTTACTCACACAACAAAAGTTTTTGGTTGTGCCCGATGACGTGATGGATTGTGGAGCTCTGCTAGGACATGACTTTACTAAAAAGTTTAAATTTTGCTGCGACGACAATGGCTTTAAGTTGACAGGTTTGAGAGCTGATCAAAAGGAAGCAGATGGGTTTGGCTCCGATGTTTACAATATTGTAGAAGCATCTAATTTGTTTACTGTTTCCAGCCAGCATGAAGAAGCTGTGACAAAACTTATCGAAGAAGTACAGCGGATGCCATCAAAACCTTCAAAGCAGTGTCCAATCGAACTGAAGATAACCCCGGATGGCGTAATAAAACCATTTCACCAGTCACCATCTCGTCTGGGTGCGAACGAAGCAGAGGCCGTTAAGAAACAAATCGATGAATGGTTGGCCCAAGGAATAATACGAAAGTCAGCATCAAACGTAGCCAGCAGAGTGGTGGTAGTGAAGAAGAAAGACGGTACCCTTCGAGTCTGCATTGACTACAGGAAACTTAACAGCATGGTATTGGCGGATCGTTTTCCTGTACCTCTTATGGAGGAGGTATTGGAAAAGCTACAAGAGGC